TGGAAAGGAGGAAGCAGAGTTCTGGCAACTGGTCCTAAAAGGGGCAACAGGAGCGGCGTGGCCTATGAGTGGGTCCTATGTTTCAGGTCACCCCGGGAGAAAGCCGTGGCACTCTTTTTGAAACAGGGCTTACTGGGTATTTAGATGTCATTGTAGCTGTTAGGAAGAGCAGCCAGGCACTCACAGGCTGGACTGTCCATGCAAAGGACCTTCCAGCCCTTTTAAATTATATTGCTAAATGCCAGTCATCTCCTTATATTTCAGACAGATCATTTGCACCTAATGTCGAACCGCTGCATTATGATCACGTTGCATCAGCTTCCAGTTATGGCCTGCATTGTGAAGGAATAGATGCCAAGCTGCTCAGAGCCCCCCCACCCCCCGCCAAGAGTTTTCCCAGGGACTCCTACCAATATGACGATCAGTTAATAGCGTTTGCTGCAGCCTGAGTGTTACGTGCTATTCTGGAATCCCTATACCTTGCATCTGGTTCCTTCAGAAATGCTTTTCCTTTTTCCTCTCTGTTTATATTTCACATCCATAAAGCTTCCTTGCCCTCTCCTTGTCCTTCGCACATCCTGGCCTGGCACAGTTCCGTTTCGTCTTTGGTTGTGTCCTGAGTTCTGTCTTAATGAGACAGGAGAAAGTGTTCCAGTAAAACCACCAGAGGTGGCAAGAAAACTGCAGAATTTCAGTGGAACTCTCCCATGGTGGAGGGATTCCTCCTCAGCTTCGCCTTTGGACCATGGATGCAACCTGTCCCTGGCGTAATCCCCTACCTCCGTCCCTGATGCCTGCTTCCCACCTCCGCTGCGGCCTCTTAAGTTTCCCAGTAAGCCTGACGTGCCGTCACATAGAGTTCATACACACCCGATATATACCGAATTTGGCCTCTTCCCTGCCTCACTGAACAGGGGTAACATTTGAGAACAGAGGTGACATCTGCTTTTCCTCTCTCACCCAGTGCACACAGGACAGTGCCCAGCTCCCCACATGGGGAACGAAGGTGGATCCTGGGGAAGAGCTTTTATAACTTCATAATGGTTAATTAAGTCTCTTTCATCTGAATAGGGTATTTGTGGGTAGCCATAACAAGACTCGTAGTAGGGAGTATTAAAAAAACAAAATGTTTTTACCCTGGGACCCAGAGTACTAGACTGAACATAAGGATTGCCCACAAGGAAGGAGACGGCTCCAGCTTCATGGCCAAGCCTGAGTTTGCAGAGAGCATGTTCTGCCTGCCCCTCTGGGCTCCCATCTGCTGCTGCGCTCTCTCCCGAGGTTGGCTGAGACCCTCAGTGGGGAGCGGGGAGAACGGCCATAGCCTCGGCCCCACTTTGCACAGAGAATTTCTTGGCATCTCAGGGAAGAATAGCTTACGTGGTTTTTACAGCATCATGTCAACTCTTAAAGTCTTTAGTCACTCATGAAAAAACCCTGTGATTTTGGAACCAGTTTTTCCATCCCATCGGTTGCAGAGCTGTGACTCTTACGGGGTGATCTTTTGGCTTTGAAGCTGCTGTCCTAATGTAGCAGCTGGTACCATTTTGTAATGGGAGGAGCATGAGAGAAAGTGTGTCTTTGTGCTTCCTCTGGCCGGAAGGGATTTGTACTCATCCCCCCCAATAGCCGTGGCTTCCTGGGATTTGTGGTTAAAGGAGATAAAGCCGGTCGTTTTGGTTCTCGGAATCTTAGGGAGCTTTATTAACCACACAATGTCCCTTAGTAGTCAGAGCGACAGCTCAGGCCAGGCTCAAAGGAGTCTTTTTTTTCTTTTTCTTTCTTCCAAATGGTAGTATATTTTATGACCCCCAGTCTAACCTTTCATATGTGGACATTAGTAATAAGGATGATGATGGCGATGGTGACAGGAAAGACGGAGTACTGACTGCTCTAAGCACTTGCCATGAAGCCACTGATTTAGTCCCACAGTTTAGCGGTCACTCAGAGGAGTGCCTTTTGACAGAAGTGCCCGTTGCCTTTGCTCCTTCTCCATGCTGCGTCCTCTCTCACAGCCCCTTCCCAGTTCAGTCTCCGCGCCTCCCATCGCCATTGGCACCCACACCCCACAGTGGCAAACTGCCAGGATCAGGAGACAAGAAGTGGAATCCTGCCAAGGCCACACAGGTCCCCTGCCATCTTGCGGACTCTCAGCATCTCGCGGCGCTGGGAAGGCGCCAGGTAGACTCGGGTACCCTGACCTTGTGGCACCTTGGGTTTGACGTGGTTCGTTCTGTGCTTCCCAACATCCAGAGCCAAGAGAAGAAAGCCCAGCTCTGAGAGGGCAGCTCAGGGGTCACATGCCCAGGGGCCTGCGGGGGCTGGGCAGGTAGCCTCGGGGAGTGACGTGGGGTCAGGGGTAAGACAGACGCCCCTTCAGTGTGCGCATTGAAGTCGTAAGGGAAGCTCACGCTTCCAACCAAGAGATACGCCCTTGCCCATTTTTCTCAGAACGCCTCACCTAGCTTTCCTATTCCCAGTTCCGCCAGACACAGGAACACAGAGAGGATTCTGCCCTGGAAGAGAAACAGCAGGAGAGCGATGGTAGCCGGTGGCAGCTGATGCTGACTTCAGCAGGAAGGAGGCAGAGAGGGAGGGTGGGGACTGGGGCCACCAGGAAAGCACAGGGCCTGTCTACAGGGGCAGCTGCTACTCGGCCCCAGCATTACTGGCTCTTAGAGGTTTTCAAGAGAAGCTGGGAAATGACATTTCATGTGGAGCTCTTCCAATTTTTACAAAGGTAGCTTAAATTTAAAAATAAAAACATACAAAGAAGCCACTGTCTGGCCAGACACAACGTGTGGCTACAGGTCTGTGACCTCCAAGTTCAGGAATATTCATGATCACAAGATGGTCCTGTCCTTGGGTAAAGCAATATGGGATGTTACCTGCAGACGCACAGGAGTATAGCCTGTAGGCCAAATTGCCTTAAAACATCCTCAAGGGGCCCAGTGTGGTTCCATTCAGTTCTCTTTAATCTTTCAGGTCTCCCTAGCACATTCAGTAGGAGCTCAACAAGACGAGGTTGTTGGTTTCTGCTTAGATACAACTTTGGTTTCTGGTACTTTGGGTTTAGTCTGATTCCCACTGGTCCTTATAGTTCCAGTGCTCATGCTGTCCAAACAACTTCAATACTGGATTCCTGGGACAGAGATATCGGTTGGTTCCAATTGGGTCAGACTGGTGTACCCTGGTTCGGTCAGTGTCTCAGGGCAGTGGGGGTCTTGGACTAGAAGGCTTCCCCGTATGGCCTCAGGGTGGGTGAGTGTCCGGTGGCAGGTACAGCAGGTAAGGATGTGGGAGTGGGCAGCCCCGGTGAGCATTTCTCCTTCGGATATCCCTCTGGTAGAGACAAACAATAGCTTGTTTTCCACTTCTGCATTTTCGTCATTTCTCACCGAGTCCTCCAGATAGCTCCATTACCTGTCTCTAGCAAAGAAAACTCAAGTTTGTTTTCTCTAAAGCGCTACTTACCATTTCCTGGGAGCGGAGTTGGATTCAGGCATTCTGGGGCTGGGTTTCTTCTCAGTTAGTCATTTCCAGCAGGTTCTGGCTCACCCCGAAGAAAGTCCCGTTATCTAGATAGAGCATGTCCTTGGCAGGCTGGGGTGCTACTAGAGAAGCCAGAAAGGAAAGGTATCTTGGTGCAAAATAAAATATCAGAAGTATAAAGGTATTTTGGCATGTTGAGAGGATGTTTTTTTAAAAAGTTACAAGTTAGGCTTTAAGTGGTAAATTTAAAGCATGTTGCAATGACAGCATTTTAGTTCAAGGTTCTGTAAACCACATCCTTCCTGCTAAATTGGCCCACTGCTTGTTTTTATAAAGTTTTATTGGAACACAGCAACACCTGTTTGTTTACTTATGGTCCACAGCTCTTTATTGTCTTACGGTATCAGAATTGATGGGGAACAAAGACTGTATGGCCCGCAGAATCAAAAATATTTACTACTCAACCCTTCATAGAAAAAGTTGGCCAACACATGTTTTAGTCCATTCATCCAAGTATCTCCTTAGACTGAGAATGACAGTTATATGCCATTGTTGGAAAAAGGAAGTTGATATTTCAAAAAACACTCCTAGGGGAATGCTGGGGAATGGAAAATAGGAAGTGTTCTTTGCTCTTTTATCCAACTTGACTGACTCGGTGGATTGCTTGACAATCCCTTGCTATTTCCAGTTGAGATATGCTGGACCAGAACGCCTGCACTTGGGCTCCTGAATGCATCCTTGGCAGGTGAATCCTTCTTCCCCAAGTAATCTGAGATTTTTAACCTACCCATTTAGTTTATGTCTGTTAAGTAAACCTTTCTCTTACATCTTTTTTAAATTACCTTTCTGTTTATAAAAGTGATATAAGGTGATTGTAAAAAAAAATTAAACCATGCACAACAACACAAAGAAGGGAGTTAAAAATTGCCCACAGTTCCATCACTGGAGTCCCCTCTCATTCATGTACTTATAGCTAATTAACACGAGATACTACGTATTAAAAATCTTTTCGCCAAATTGGAAGCATAGACCTACTGTTTTACAACATGTTTTTTAAAAGTTACTATATACCGAACATTCTCATTTCATTAAATACTCTCTTTTACCATAGTTCTTCGTTATTACATAGTATTTTCACGTGTGTATTCCATGATTTACTTAATTTCTCATTGCTGTCTATTTTGGTTTTGAATTTTTTACTATTCAGAAACGGCACTTATGTTTCTCTCCGATTCTTTGGGATAAATTCCTTGGATTAGAATTGCTGGCTTAGAAAGTATGAAGCATTTCTAAGGCTTTCAGTAGACTGTGCCCTACAGATCTCGCTTTTCTATACCCACCAGAAGGGCTCGAAAGCACCCAGATTTTGAAAGTAAATTAAAAAGGTTACTGTATTTTTATTGGAAGGATCTGATAGAATATTGGTTGAGGTGGCCTCAACCTCATCCCCTGCATGCGTGAATGCCAGTGGTGAGTGACTGTGATTTTGGCTTCTTGTCCCCTTTTAGGCTCCCCCTCCCAAACCGCCCCGCAGGCATGGAGGCTGGGCAGATGATTCCATGAAGGCTTCAAAGTAAGTGCCAGCCGCTTGTGAGGGTGGAAGTGGGCACTTGGCTCTTGGGTTGTTTTTCTTTAATTTTTTTAGAACAACTTTCTTGAGGTGTAATTCTTATTCCATGTAATTCACCCATTAAAATGTACAATTCAGTCGTTCTTGGTGCCTTAACAGAGTTGTGCTACCAACACCACAGTCAGTTTTAGAACATTTTTATCACCCTCTCCTCAAAGAAACCCGGTACCTGTTAGCAGTTATTTCCCATGTCCCCCCAGTCTTCCTAACCCTGGGCAGTCACCATTCTGCTGTCTCTATGACTGGCCTGTTTGGACATTTCACATACATGGAATCCTACTTTATGTGGTCCTTTGTGACTGACTTCTTTCACTTGGCCTGGTATTTTCAAAGTTCATCCATCTTTGTAGCATTCTGTGTTCTTTTTTTAAGAAATTGAGGCACAAATGACGTATAACATTATATGAGTTTCCATAATGATTCAGTATTTGTATATATTGGCAATGACCGCCACAATGTACAGTTAGCATTTGTCACCATACATAGTTATAAACAAATTTTTCCTTGTGCTGAGAACCTTTAAGATCTACTGTCTTAGCAGCTTTCAAATATGCAGTACAGTATTATTAACTGTAGTCACCATGCTGTACATAACATCTCCATGACTTACTCCTTTGATAACTGGAAGTTTGTACATTTTGACCCTCATTCTGTGTTCTTAAAGTAACTTTCTGAACAGAATGGAATTGCCTGTTAGTCATTGTAGGATTACAAACCACTTTGGTCTTTAATCCCTTGCACGAAGCCTTAGATGAATAGTAAACCAGAAAAAAAGATTTACTACACCAGCAGAGGATGGCTGACTATCAAGCTTAACTATTTAAGGTAGACTTGGGAAGGGAATTTCTTTTTCTTTGAAACATGGACATTACTCTTGTCTAGAATTTCCTTCAGTACTTGTTGCCTTAAAAATATATTTTTTTTCTAATTCTTTCCTCCCTTTAAGTTTATCTAGATAAATCTATTTAGATAACGATAAATTTATCTTATCTAAAATATCTCTCTTGATCTAAAATAATTCCAATTCCTCCCCTGTTCTCCCATTCATTGTGGTTTTTTTTTGAGGAGTCCAGGCCAGTCGTCTTGTAGAGTGTCTTAAATTCTGGTTTTTCTCTGACCAATTTCTCATGATCAGGTTCAAGTTGTAGGTTTTGGGCAAGAACAGGTGATTTTGTGTAGTTCTTATATCAAAATAGTATAGAAACACATACTCAGAGATGTCTCACTCCCATCCTTATTCCCTCCACCTCATTTCCATCCATCCCATATGGGTAATCTCTTTATTAGCTTCTGGTCTATCCTACCTATACCTTTTTTTTTTTTTGCAGAATTCAACATAAACATGTACAATTTTAGTTTACTCTTCTTTGTTTCTATATATTAGGATTCAGCAAACTTTGACCCACAAGCTAGCTGCCAGTTTTTATAGATCATGTTTTATTGGAACAGGACCATACCCTTTCATTTGAAAAATTTAGATCTCTGATCCGTTCGGAATTAATTCTATTGTATGATATAAGGTATGGATCAGTTTTATTTGTTTCCAAATGGCTATGGTCCCACCACCATTTATTTAAAAATCCATCTTTCTCTGGTAAATTTAGAAACCACCTGTATCATAATTCTACATCTTCGTATGTACCTGAGTCTACGTTTAGACTTGTTATTCTCTTCTAGTGGTTTTCCTGTGTATTCATATGCCAACAATTACCACACTCTTTCCTTTATAGAATATAGCACTACTTTTTAGTGCTAACCAAGAACAAGAAGGTAACTTTGAAACATAGGTCTCATATATCAGTGAGAGTCTTCTAGAGTGGCCCCATTTTTCTAAGGCATTAGGGGATTTTAGTGCTTGTAATATCTGGAATTTATTTTGAAATATAGAGATGAGACAAACCCTGTATCTGCTGCTTAGAGAACAAAAGGAAATCTCAAAAATGAATATATGAAATGAATATATCAATGAATATATTAAAGATTTTTCCAGATCAAATCAGTTTGCTCTGGGAAAAAGATGCTTTTCCATTCCGTATGTTACTTTTCAAAGTATTGTCTTGTGTGGCTCCTAAGTCTGTGGCCTAGTCTGACCTCTCTCAATGTTGGGGGACCCAGGGCCCATCCTCGAACCTCCTCTCTTCAGCATCAACACACATGCTTGCAGGATCTTGACCCAGTCTCAGGAGTTTGACTATCACATTCACAGCGACGACTCCAAAATATATATCCCTCCAGTCCTTTCCCTGAACATCCAGTCATCCAGTTGATGTTTCCACTTGGATACACAACTCAATCATAGCATATCTGAATCAGTCCTCTTCCTTGTCACCCCTCCTGTCCCATCCCCTAACCTGCACCTCCCAAAGTCCCCCTCAGATCTCCGTAAATGGTGACTCTTATCTTCCCCGTTACTTCAGACCATAAACTTTGGAATCTTCCTGGACACCTCTTTTATCTCCGCCCACGTTCAGTCTATCAGCCAAGCGGATGAAGTCTACAGATGAAATCCGTCTGTGGTCTGTGCTGCCGGTGCTTGGCTGCAGCCGCTGTCATTTCTAGCATTGACTCGACCGAGAACATACCGGCTGGTCTCCCCTGCATCCTTTCTCTCTCCGTCTTATCTCCACAGAGCCAAAGGGACTTTTTTACAATATAAGTGAGATCATTTCCCTGGTCTCCTCAGAGCCCTCCAGTGGCATTCCCCGTAGTCCAAGTAAATCCCAAAGTTCTTACCATGGCTGACAAAGCTCTCCCTGCCCTCAGTTTATATAAAGTAGCACCCCTCGTCACTCTGTGCTCCCATCTCTTACTTAATGTATCAGCACGTGACATATATGCATACGTACATGCGTGTGTTTGTGTGTGTGCACGTGCATACAGTCTTTTTCTCTCTCCTGTAACGTAAGCTGCTTTTTAAAAAAAATTTTATACTCTTTTTTTTTTTAATGAGTCCTTGACACGCATGAATTTTACATTTACAGTGCATCTCAATTCAGATGCTAAATTTGTCAAAGAAACACCTGGTCGGTGTTTCGATTTTATAAAATTTACAGTTGAAAAGTAGATTCTCATATTAACTCCGTTCCAAACATATTTAAAAGTTTTCCAGTAAATCAACTGAGTGTAGTTTAAAAATTTAAACCAACAAATTAAATAAAAATGAGAGGGGTACCTGGGTGGCTCAGTCATTAAGCGTCTGCCTTCGGCTCAGGTCATGATCCCAGGGTCCTGGGATCGAGCCCCGCATCGGGTTCCCTGCTCTGCGGGAAGTCTGCTTCTCCCTCTCCCACTCCCCCTGCTTGTGTTCCCTCTCTCTCTGTCTCTGTCTCTCTGTCAAATAACTAAATAAAATCTTTAAAAAAATAAATAAATAAAAATGAGAAGTTTCGTGTTCCCACTCGGAATGGGATTGTGTGGCATTAGCCACATTTCAAGCGTTCAGTAGCCACGTGCATGCCGCAGTTGTAAATGTCATGTGTATTAATTTGTGCTGTTCAGCAACCTCGTGAGAGTGGCATATTATTATTATTTTTTTCTTTTTAGTAACATATAATGTATTATTTATTTCAGGGGTACAGGTCTGTGATTCATCAGTCTTACACAATTCACAGCGCTCACCATAGCACATACCCTCCCCAATGTCCGTCACCCAGCCACCCCAACCCTCCTGCCCCCCTTAACATAAGCTTCTTGAGAGGAGACACACTCTTATTTACATATGCCCAGTACCTCGAATAGTACCAGTCCATAACAAGTGCTCAGGGACTGTTGATTTGAACAAATGAATGATCTCATCGGTGTTTTTGCTATCAGATCAGGTCACTTTGCTATCAGTGTGGGAAGTGGAGATCTGGAAGGTTGGAAGCGCTGTTTGGAAGGTAATACTCTGTTTGAAGGTGGATTTGAAGGTGGATAAGAGCTGGATGAGGGCTGTGGTGTGAGCATGGACAGGAGAGGAGCTCTGGGGACGTTTTGGAGCTAGAGGTCACAGAAGTGCCATTGGTCAGATACAGGGCAAAAGAGGGAGGAGTGGAAGGTCCTGCAAGGTGCCTCGCTTCGATGACTTGGTTGGGGGGCAGTGCCGTCAGGTAGGGAACGCAGAAGGAGAGACCTGATATGTAGGCTGGTGGTCATCCACACAGATAATTTTCCAGTTTGAGATTCTGGAAGAGAGGTCAAAAGGGAGGTACAACTTGGTACATCTACACAAATAGAAGCCAAGGACGGAGCCTTGGATTTGGCAGTTCGGAGGTTACTAGGGGCCTTTGAGAAAGTTATGGTGATTTGCACTGGGGCAGAAGCCAGATTATGGGCTGAAGAGGGACTGAGGTGAGGAAATAGTGATCTAGGCTCCTTCCCTGAGAAAGAAAGGAGAGAATGGGATAGTATTTGGAAGGAGAGGTTTGTGTCGAGAACCATGTGTGTCATACATGGGGAAAGAGTGACTGCAGGTGAAATAGGAGGGGTTGGAAGGAGCAGCATCCTTGGAAGGATAAAACCTTCCAAGAGAGGTTGATTAACCTTGGACAGAAGGAGGCAGGGACGTTTTTCCTCCGATATAAGAGGGAGCTTGGAAAGGGGGTAAGCTCTCAAGAAAAATTGAGGGAGTAGGGAATTGGGGGAATTGCATTTTGGATTGGCCCCTTGGTTTTCTTCTTTTTTTAAAGTAGAAAGGCAAACTGTTGAGCTTGTTGGAGCCAAGGAGAGCTGGCCTCTGGAGGCAAAGTAGAACAGATGTGCAGCAGAAGGAGGAGGGGGCGGCCGGCTAGGGGCAGGAGAGGCCGTTGTTGGGCCACATTGAGGACGTGCCCATTCAGGTTGGAAAATATGAGCTCCTACTCCTGGCAGGGAACTCCAGGGGGTACAGAGTGTAGCTGTGCCCCCTGCCCTGCAAGAGCTTGGATTTGGATTGGGAAGATCAGGCATTTTTGTTCACGAAAATC